TAAATGTTTACTTATATGAATTGATTACTTCAAAAGATTATTTTTTTTTAAGAATAAATTAAAAATCGTAAAAAATGTATTAATAAATCAATCAATATCCTGAGTATATACTGACAAAGTACTTAAAAATATTGAAAGTAAATGAGTACTGTAAGACAACAAAATTACAATAAAAATTTTATATAATCCTGTATTATCAGAAAAATTAAGAAGAATAGCTGTAAATAGATGTATTTAATGCAAAAAGAGCGAATTCCCGAGTGGTTTTTGACAACCTTGTGTATAATGCTGTTTTGCACGTCCTACTTTGTTAGTTGTAAAGGGCAACTTAATTTCAACTTTTAGAAATTTTTCTTTTCCGATATTTGATTAATTGGAAACGAACGAAATTAATGAACAAATAGCTGGAGCAACAATTTCACGGTAAATTGAATCGGCTATTGGCACACATGTTGTGGTCTTTGGATTTATCGTCTTTTCCATAAATTTTATCAACATCCATCGCTTTTTGCAATAATAATGCGCAGTTTTCAGAAACTGATTTTTCCGTGTCCTTTATTTTACAGTTAACAAATAGATGAAAAGTGACTTCAGGTACCTTAAATTGTAGGTAATTTAATTGCATACAACATAAAACAATTACAGTAATGTGTAGATAATCCGAACAGAATGTTGACGGATCCCGTTCGGATTACCAAAACTTTCGGATTATATAATTCATAATGATTAATATCTATAATCCGAACACGTTCGGATAATATCAAATAAAAACAAATTTTTAAGAAATAGGGACACCCTACATATGTTGCATACGTATTGGAATTTCAATTGATAAGATTAACATTTAATTAATACATAAGCAAAAAGAATAATTAAGATTTACTTCTAGACTCTAGAATGTTTTTTTTGAACAAAATTGTTCTTTGAACGCATTTCTTGATGTTTAGATGGACTGCCTTCTGTCGAAGTATTCTTAGATTATCAGATCATGCAGTGGCCCTTGGACAGACATGCGCGCACGTGCAATGATAAATATGTAATAATTGAATTGCTAGTTCGAATTACGGAATGCAAAAGTTGGGATTATGAATAGCATTTTACACAATTTGGCCGTTCGGATTATAGACGGTTCGGATTATCTATACATTATCGTAATTTACCGATATGTCGTCTAAATTTTCATGGACAGCAAACACGTAATTTTGCAACTTATTTGCAATTTGCCAAATTATCGTAATAGCCTGTCATAAAGTGCAATAAAATGTCTACTAATAATTTTATATACCCAGAAAGAGAAAAAAGAGTAATAAAAAAACAATTTCAAACTTAACTTCTCAATATTGAAGAAACTTAATGAAACTCATTTTTGGTGATTAGGAGAATTGTAATAGTATCGCCCGCCGGCCAAAAAATGATATCGGCGAAAGTACTATAAAACCTGACCAATTATAAATAGCATAACAAAATATATCCCCATACTGTGTATATCCCTTTGTTTTATAACATTAAAAATACTACTTATTTACAATGTTTTGTAGCAATAAAAAAATGTACAGTGACTTACATCGAATGGGACTACAGGGAATAGGCTAAACATATTTTTAAAAATTTTATGTATTCGATATTGGGATATCCTCAAATCTCATAGTCATACGCATGCACAAATTAACAAAAGGTAACTGTAATGTTGTATTTAAAGCAACAAAAATAAACAATTATTTATAAGTAAAACTGTCAGAGAGAGCCGCAAATTCAATGGCGTGCCAAGCTAGTCAACCGAGATATGCGTGAGCCGTTGCCTTAGAATACTTTTCACGTTCACATCACGTTAGTATACCGTTGCCTTTGTTATCGTGCGCATGCTGCGTAATTAATTCCTATCCGTTGGTGTTGATGGCGGTATATTGTAGACAATTTAATTTGTTGCTATTTAATAAATAATTTATACGCCTATGTCCCGCAGCTCAGTTCTGACAGCCCGATTTGTGAGTAAACAACGGCAAGAAACAAGATAAAAACATTCAAAATGTTTTTAACCAAATTTTAACATAAAAATAACCAACCAAGCTCAGAGAAAAGGCATTAGTTTGCAAATCCACTTAAAAGAAAAAGTCTACAACAGTCTACATAAAAATTACTTTTCTAATGTATTACAGGAGAAAATGTGTTGTTTTTATAAATATTTTTCAAATTTAATTAATTCTATTAAGTTTCTTATTTAAATCATTCAGATAACCGAAAATTTATAGGAGGCCTTGAATTTTTTATGTACAAATATCTCATAATTTGATATTATTATTACTTATTATTATAGTCCAGTTAATATACATGGTGTTTCGCATAAGAACCAACACATAGCAGAGGCATGTAGGGAAGCCTAAAATATGGTGATTTAACGCAACTTACCTTTATACTAAGCTGCACCCCTGGGAAATTATAGGCCTTGAAAGTGGGGTTTCAAATTTCGAAAAAAATTAATATATCAGTTATACTTGAACTTAGCAAAACCAAATTTGGTACACGGTATGAGTGTACCAAGAGCATTAATGAGAAACTACAGAAGAAATATCGCAGAAGATTTCCTCTATAGAAAAACATTTTCTTTCCATTATTGAAAGATGAGCTCGAGAAACAGAAAAACACTCCCTCATTTTAGTAATATTGTTAGAGACTTTTCAAACCACCAGTATCCAAATAAATGGATTGGAAGAGGAAATAATTGCCCACAAGTTTGGCCTCCACGATCACTCACCAGACCTCAACAAATGTTACCTACTTCTTTCTTTGGGGAACGTTAACAGAATTTGTGTATTCCTCGTCTGTTGCGTCTCGCATTACGGATAAATGCACATTCATTAGAAACAATTACTAGTTATTGGATAGGGTAGACTTCAATTTTCGACGAAGAATAAATTTATGCTTGAGAGAAAACAGTGATCATTTTGAGCAATTTCTATAACTTATCAGCGCAAATTGTATGTTATTTATGTTTTTTAAGATGTTTGTTTTTCTATTAAATTATTCTTATTTCAACTTTTTTCCTGATCGTCAAGTTTGTTTTTCTATTAAATTATTCTTATTTCAACTTTTTCTATTAAATTATTCTTATTTCAACTTTTTTCCTGATCGTCAAGTTTGACGTTTAAATTCATAGTCAACTTTTTAATTTTCGATGATTTTAAAGAACACAACAAATGCGTATTATTAGTTATTCGTGTCTTTGTTGAAAACTAAAGTTTTTTGAAAACTGACAAGAGTAAGAAATGTTTTAAAATTAAATTCCCATAAAATAAAGTAATAATTAGTCCGCCAACGGGTTAAAAAATTCCTCAACTGAACTCTACTTGAAATTTGGTTTTTCTAAGTTCAAGTATAACTGAGATATTGACTTTTTTCGAAATCTGAAACCCCCACTTTCAAGGCCTATAACTTTTCAGAGGTGCAGCTTGGTATAAAGGCAAGTTACGTTAAATCACCATATCTTGGGTTCCCCTACATGCCCCTGGTCTGTGTCAGTTCTTATGCGAAACACCCGGTATAATTAAGAAATGTTTGAAATAATTAATTGTACTCATTATACATATAAATTGTAACAGAAATTTTTTAAATTTTTAAGACAATACATTTTAATTCAAATGTTTTTTTACTATCCCGGATAAGTGAAACGACAATTGTAAATGACCAAAAATGTTGCTATTGAAAAATGGCCTTTTGGGACTCGGCTTTACTTTGTGAAACAAAATGTCTTGATTTCAAATACGCAAAATCCAGATTAGGAAATTTAGAAAAACATGTTTTTATATCCAGTCCCCCTTTCCCAAATATTATAACAAAATGGTATTAAGAACAGTTTCTCAGAATGAAAAACTGTATAAGGATAAAAAATTTGATGTTGCTTGCTTTTTAAAGTCGCTTTTCTGTATGAATCTGACCATGTTTACAAAATTTTACTGTCCTATGTCTATTTTGAGAAATATCTCAATTCAAGTGAAATGTCAAAGTAGGCCTAGGATATTTGAGTTTGCAGACATACTCAGTTTCCCATTCCGAGAAGCGTTTCTTATTAATATTTTGTGAAATCAAGCAAAAAAATTAGAAATATGTCTTGATATCAAGATATCAAGATGTCAAGATATCTTGAAATCAACACAAAAAGTTACAGTGACCGAATTTTCAAAATATTTAGTTCCGTCGAATTTCTAGGGCTATCAGTGAGAACGATTCCTGGTATCGCCATTGGTACACATCCGAATTCACTAGATTAGTTATTGGCGTCAGTGTCATCATTCTGCATCAAAAATATTTTAGAAAAGATGATTTTTTGAACACCCTGTATCTCGAGAACTATTGATTTGTGGACCCATGTTAAATACCCTTTTTGACTGTGTAGTAACAATGTCCAATTAAATGCTGTTTAGCAGAAAACCTAGATTTTCAAAGCACCCTATAAGTGTCCGAATGACGTACAACACAACGTAGTCTATTAGAAATAACAAACTAATTAAGAAAAAAAATATGTACGCTACTATGTCCTACAAAAAAATACATCGTTATTCAACTATAGAAACCTGCCAATTTGTATATTAATTTTTCTGAGAACCAAACAAGTTAGTAACGATTAAGCCTGAAAAAAGTGTACGGGACAATTATAATAGTTTTTTTATATATTTATCACTGTTTAGCCTGTCTACAATACCACTCAAAATAGGTCACTCTGTATAAATTTTAAAATGTTGCATTTCCTACCTTCCAATATACACAGAAAAAGATAACTACTGTTTTATTTTTTTTTTAATTATTCTCTGTGTACGTATTTTTTTCTATTTAGTATTGCATTTGAATTCGCCATTAACCACTTATAGAACGAACGTATTAAAAACAAATTACTATTGTTCAAACATTTTTAAGTAGTAATTGAGAAAGACGAAGAATGTACGTTTAAAGAAACGCCACTTGGCCAAAAACAGGAAGCAAATAAAAATTCCAGACGGCATGTTTACCTTCGTTTTTTCGAGTAATGCACTGCAGGGCTGGCATCCTGACCCATTGCAACAGGTGGTACTTGTATGTGGTGGGGCGGGGGTTGGGCTGACGCATGAGACTGAAGATACGTAGGGGGTGGCGCGTAATGAGGGGGGCCCCCTCCTGCATAAGTAGCGTACATATCAGTTTAAAATCAGCGAAAATATCGTCTCTCACATATATATGTACATAAGATATTTCCCAAAAGAAGCACAGAATTTTTAACGAAACAACGGGGCGTTGAGGGGTAATTTTGTGAAACTGTCGGGACACCGATTTTTTAAATCTGAAGAACACGCGTCACTCGGACTGGACTAAACACGCGCTACTTTAATGTACACGCTCGAGCTTCTACAGAGAACTGACGGTTGCACGAGGTACAGGTAGATAAAACCTTCGAGCCGTTGTTTGCGGGACCATGGGCCAAGCGCAGTATTTGAGATAGGCAAAACAACACTATGTAATTATATCATGCCCAATTTTTATATTACAGTGCAACGGACTGAGAGATGTTCTAAATACTTTACGTGGGCCTAGACGTAACAACGTACCTACCTCTAATTTCTACCACAAATTTAAAATTTCCAGAAAAATTAAACGTTATAAAAAACACTGTGTTTTCAAACAAAACTTGAAAGCTATTGGCAATAAAAAATTACAAAATGGAAAACAATAGTATAGTCAGGGTGTATACTGAATTTTGATAAAAAAAAATAAATCCTTGATTTAGAGGTTTACCAGGCAGATTTAAAAAAATTTCCAGTTTGTCAATCGGAAATTTTCTATTAATTTTTGTTTGAATATTAAATAATCCAGATATAACCAGAATTTTTTTATTTAGGAGAAAATTGGATTTTTTAATGCGTTAAAATTAAAAAAAAATACGTTTTATAAAATATATGTGGAATCTTAAGAGCTTTAATTAATAATACTATATAAAGCAAGCAAGCATTATTTTAAATTATTAGGAACTTTATTGTGAGAGATATTTACTCTATTAATAATTATTACGGACAAAGTTGTAGTCTAATTAAAATATCTGTAAGAGGCTCATAAACCCACCATCATCACCAAAAAACTGACGTTTTCCGATTTATTTTATTTTATAATGACCATTTTGACAGAAATTAAAATTAGTGCAAATAAATGAAATCTATTAGAATTTGACTAATAATTTTTTGGAAAATGTAAATGTTATTTTTAATTTTGGCCGATTAAAGTAACTCCATTTTCTTTTAAATTAAAAAATTACCAGTATACACGGTATTAATGATAAGTTTAGCTAAACTTTAATGGCATATTCTACCGATGAAAATAATCAAGTTTTGCCCTATAAAAATTTTTGATAGGACGCTTCCCTACGGAGATACAGGGTTTTAAAATTTCCAAGTATTTGAGTGATAAGATTTGGGGGATGGCATTTTTTTAGTAGGGACTATTTTGTCATGGATAACTTATTCCAAAATTGTCACTTTTCTGCAATATTTTCTATTTTTTTGAGCCATGTTTGACAGATCTATAACATTACCGACATTTTTTTTAATAGAACGCTCTATATCTTATATATAAAATTCTCGTGTCACAATGTTCGTTCCCGTACTCCTCCGAAACGGCTGGACCGATTTTGATGAAATTTTGTGTGCTTATCGGGCAGGTCTGAAAATCGGCCAACATCTATTTTTCATACCCCTAAATGTTAAGGGTGGTCCACCCCAAAATTTTTTTTTGTTGTTTTTTGGACAAAATTTTATTTTTTTATTTTTTTATGATGTGGCCTTAAAAAATACATACAATCCTAAATTTTCACCCTTCTACCATCAACCCTTATTTTTTAATAGCGATATTAGTAATTCAATAATTTTCAACCCCGGTCGATAACTGATCAATTATCACTTGATCATTTTTTTTATCCCCGCCAGGCGTCGACCGGTGTCACTGCTGACCCAGTAAACAGCACGGAGTAGGGATGAGATCTCTCTCACACAATGAGCCGTTTCTCACTCCCTACAGTTTTCGGCCATTATTATTGTTTGTGCATCAACCATAATAATGACATTTACTATTACCATTCATAAAAAAAATATATACACGATATACACTGAATAACACTAAATATAATATAGATGGTAGAAGTGAAATTTCTTTATGAAAAATCTACTAAAATAATCCTAGGATTAATTTATATGGCAAAACAACGTTTGCCGGGTCACTTCTAGTTTTATAGTATAAATTGATAGCCCTTCTAAAGACGAATTATGTGATATAAGGCTATATGTACCTACTTTTGTGTTATAGTTGTTAAAAAATGAAAAAAATTGTCTTTTATGTCGTACTGACGACTATTTCAATCAGTTTCTTCTGTACTTTAAAACACGTACCTACTCTTTATTAATATTTTTCTACGTACTTTAAAGGTTTTTTTTTTTCTAAAAAAAAACACATTGATAAAAACATTAAATTCACCAGAGCACCTCATTTATAACGTGAATCGTTTTAGTTCCAATTCATTCGTTGTTGAATTATTTTCAAAAATGATTGCCCGTTTAAGCGAAAAACGAAGAATTGAAATTTTAATTATGATTGGATGCGAAGATAAAATCCGTAGTCAACAGGAGGTATGTGACTTATTTCACCATAAGTATCCAGACCAGGGAATTAGTCTAGCTACAATCAGAAAGGCCAAGAACGGTAAGCGAAAATGACCGCCAAAAAGTGATGCTCGCCGTTACTGAAAATCCTCACTCATCCATTAGATCTATCTCAACCAACTTCAACTTGTCGAAGTCCTCAGTTCACAGAACTCTTAAGTCTCAAAAGTGGCATTCTTATAAGAACTATGAGATGACACAGACAGAAGATTACAGTTTTACGAGGAAATTAGAAATTTATTTGGAAGACAACCCAAATTAAAAAATCACATAATTTACACTGAAGCAACTTTTTACTTAAACGGAACACATTACATTGGATGCAAGAAAAACATACACAACGGCCGGAAAAAGTGATTGTTTGGACTGGAATAGTGGGAAATCGCATACTGGGAACTGAGACCTTATTTCTTTGAGGGCAATTTGACAGGCGACATTTATTTGGATTTTTTGCGTTTTCAGCTGATTCCATATTTAGAATAAATTTTTCCTAACCCTAACGAGCACGATATGCTTGCTGGTGATGTCTGGTTCCAACAAGATGGTACCCCTCCACATTTTCGCCTCGATGTAAGAAATTACCTTAATGAAGTTTTCACAAATCGATGGATAGACAGAAGAGGGCCGTTTGAATGGCCACCACGCTCCCCTGACTCAACATCATTAGATTTTTTTTGTAGGGTTATCTAAAAAGCAAAGTGTATGTGAACAGACTATCGAAGGATTGAAAAATCGTATCAGAGAAGAAGATAATGTTATTCAAAATGTAATTGATAACTTTGAACACCGAATTGGACATTGTAATAAAATAAAAAGTGGAACTAAATTATTGTATGACAAAAAAGTAAGTATAACCTTATATCGCCGAATTCGTCTTTGGAATATTATACTGTAAAATATAGAGCATTCTATTTAAAAAAATGTCGGTAATGTTATAGGTCTGTCAAACATGGCTTAAAAAAATAGAAAATATTGCAAAAAAGTGACAATTTCTATTTACTAATTGACCTGTTTCAGCGATTTTTTTAAATTTCAACTGGAAAAAAATATGAATTTTGTTCCATCATTTTGGGAGGTGTATCATCATTTTGGGGGGTGTATACAGGGTGAACCAAATTTGATTATCATTACAGGAATATCAGAGACATAATTTAATGCATAACAAAATTCCATTGAGAAAAAAAATCCTCTTCCTCTTCGTTTGAATTTTATAAAAAAAAGTCGAAATCGTTCATTTTAAAACAAAACGTAACATTTAGTAGTCAGACTAAAAAAATTCTAGAACGATTCTGATGTAAATTTTTGTTTTTTTCATTGACGTAGTCAAGAAAATAACTGAACTCTTTCTTATGGATGCCAAATTGTACTTTATTTAAAAAGAAATAATTTTAAGGTGGTTCAAGAATTTTTCAATTGGATTGCAAATAATGAGGTTGATTTCTACATAGAAAGATTTTCAGTTTTTTCTGAATAATATATCTTAAATGAGTATAAACTTAATTGTGTTCTTATAGGCATATTGATAAGTATTAAATTCTGCACTACTTTGTCAACTAAGGATTAAAATAACAGAAAGGAGAATCAATTAATTTTAATTAACAAACATACGACACCTGTAGATCATTTTTTAGGGGACAACATAGAGAATTTTAATGACAAAAAAATATTCGGGGTAAATTTGTGAAAAGTGGAAAAAATCCACACTGAGCCTATTCAACGCACACATAAATTTAGGAAAAATTCGCATACATAAATAAGAAGCATCGGCTTCTTGTACCTGCGGAAATGACGTAAATAAAGCATGAGACTGTTTGCGCAGCAATCACGTGACTTAACAGAAACACGAATTATCATTGGGTTAGTTGCTCTTATCAGCGCATGAACAAAACGCGTGGTTGTTCGTTGACACGGTACTTGTGTTTGATGCCGAAATTTATTAATTTGTAATTGTAACTCGGTTTACAGATTAACAGGATATTATCGTCTATGTGCATGTGTATTTACGCAAAGTAGTAAATAAGAAATGACCGATTAACAGGAATAATGTATGCCGAGTTTCTGTAGTATCGGTTTTTCGAATTGTTGGATGACGTATCTTCAGGATCAAGTCTTTCCACACAGCACCTAAGCCGTAAATATGTTCTTTAATCGTCAATTTCCACAAGAATGGATTGGGCGCATTGACCCTGTGACGTGGTCATTTTTATCACATGATCTTAGTCCAATGGATTTTTGTCTATGGAGCTAGGATTTTTTTTTGGGAGGGCTAAACTCGGAGCTAAATTTTCACGGCACAATTAAAAAAAAACGTTTTGGGCACTTCTACGCCCAAAAATATTGTAATTTTTTAAAGCTCTCATTAAAATTGCAAAAATTTATAAGCATTTTTATAAGCTATTTCAGTCTCTGATGCATATTTAAAAAAAAAACTTTTTTCTTCTATTTCATATGAAATGTTTAGAGTGAGTTTAAAAGTGTAATACTGGCAATAATGCCATCCATGTTAGCTGTACATCCCACAATGAAGTCAGCGGTTCTCAACAAATTTTCTATTAAAATTTCTGTAAATTACTTTGTTTACTATATCAAAAAGTGACATCTAAATACGAGTATTAGCATACCAAATTTTACTTAAATCGGACAAAGAGTTTTAGAGTACCTAATTGGAAAAACCTAAAATTTTGCCATCTTT